ATCAAATTCTCAACAATTCTCGAAGTCTTGGATTCAAGCCACGTGGCTCCTCGTCTTCAAACATTCAGATCATTAATCAGAGGGTCTTGCAGTTTTGCAATTACAAGAAGATTCTCATTCATTTGTATTTCTTAAAATACAATTTTTGACGATTTCTATATTTTAATACGCGAAATCCGTCATACCAATATATTTATCAGTATTTTTTATTTTTATTTTCAAGATTGCAACCAACTTGCCCCGTTGAGGATGCTGATTTTTCTTTTCAAAATATATATTAAAATCGACTTATACGATAGTGCAAATCAAACTATAGTCTTAATTAATTTTTGGAAAAATTACAGTGGAGGTGCCAAACTTTTATTTTTGTTGCAGAATATAACTTAGCTTTTCATTTTGCAGCCGCAGTTCCAAATCTTTAACTTCCATTACACCTGAGATCTATTTGACAAATTCTATTCACATATCCGTTAGTAAACTCTTAACTTAAAACTTTGATTATACTTAACAAATAAAGTGAAGGGAAAAGTAGTGAATTTGCATTTTGTAAAACAATTAAAATAAACTATGAGCATCAGCTAAGAAGAATATTTGAAATAATAAATTTAACTATGTGCTACCTTCTCCACAATGACAAGATAAAGAAGGGTAATGGGGTTAGTCCAAGAATTAAATTTTCCTTCTCAAAACAGTGAAAGAAAGGGGTTTTGCGAGTCAAAATATTTTTCTTATTAAAACTCCCACTCTGACAAAGCGGTTATGGGAATCTAGAATCAAGAATAAACTCGACAGGAATAAAATCAATAGCATATATAATGCATGTAACTTACACAAAATTAGTAATTAAATCTAGTATGGGAACATTTTGGGAAAGAAATTCAAGCATCAAGAACGTAATTGCAAGTACTATTCTTTAGAAGTTTAACAAAAAGGTGGGTGATGCGACATGTAGATGGGAGGCAGTGACTAGATTTCCTGGGTTTTGGTGTTGGGGAAGGGGAAGGGGAAGGGGATGGGATGGGGGTGGTGTGGTGTGGGGTGGGGTGTTCGGAGAACAAACAATTCATTTTTTTGGTTTAATTATTTTAATTTTTTTATTAAAGAAAATGAAAATTCACTATTTTACCTTTCACTTCATTTGTTCAGTTGAGTCAAAATTTTAATTTGAGACAGTGTTCTAAAAAGT